TTTTTTTTAGTAGAGACTGGGTCTTGCTCTTGCTCAGGCTGGTCTCAAACTCCTCGGCCTCCCAGAGTGCTAGGATTACAGGCATGAGCCACCATGCCTGATCAAGACAATTATTTCTTAAAGCGCCAAGTTAAGTGTTACAAAATGATTTCGACATTTCAGCTAGTATCCAAACTATTAATATTAGATATTACAGTTGAAAGAATACTGACTTTGGGTTTGAAACTTAATTTAACAGTAGAATGACCTTCGGTACATAGCTTAATCTTTCTGAGCCTCAATTTTCTCATCTATAAAATGGGGGTTTCTTTATTCAACAAATTGTTACTGAATACATGTTTTTCTCTGTGACAGATGGTATTCCAGGAAGTAGGGATTGAGTGGATAATAAGACAAAGTACTTGTCCTCATGGAACTTACATTCTAGAGGAAATAGGAAGTATCTAGTGGACATAATAATGGTTTAATTCCTGTTACTGTTCCTTTTTCTGAGCCACAGTTTTCTCATCTGTAATCTTCAGGGGATTATTGTTAGAATATTTTATTATCTTAAGTACTATAAGAATGTCATTTATTATTACTATGGCAAACAAAACTTGCATAGTGTGTTGGAGTAGATGGTATAATATTTGTCTCATGTGTCTTTTTTTGTTTTTTTTTTTTTTTCCGGGACAGGGTCTCACTCTTTTGCCCGGGCTAGAGTGCAGTGGCATCATCAAAGCTCACTGCAACCTTAAACTCCTGGGCTTAAGTGATCTTTCTGCCTCAGCCTCCCAAGTAGCTGGGACTGCAGGCACATTCTACCACGCCTGGCTGTCTTCTGTCATTTTTTAAAGTAATTATTTGGGCACAAAATAATTACTTTAAATTGGGATTAATCTTAATCTGAATTAAGATTACTCATTCCATGCTTAGTTAACATTTATTACTTCTGCCTTGCCACATTTGTTCCTTATTGTCTATGTGCATAGCTGTCTCTCTCCTAGATTAAAAACTCCTTGGAGGTCGGAAGCCATTTGAATCTTA